TTGTATACTATATAACTTGAATTATACATCAACAACTTTGGTGGTACAAAGTTGAAGAGAAATTATATCTCGGGGTACACGAACAAAAAAAGGTTGAATACCACTGGTTTAGATTATGGTCATCTAGGTTATGTTTTGTGGTTACTAACACTGAGGATGAACATGCTGCCCCAATCATTTGCATTTAAAATGGAGACAACAGGTTCTTCCGGTGTCACAACCCAGAATTCCACATTTTAAAAACATTGTAAAATTATGTGACGAAGATGAATGTCTTCCGGGTTGTTGCGCCGTGTAGTTTGGAAAATGTTTACGGACGTTTCAGAGGTGCTTGCTGCTGCCATCATCAGGCGATCGTAGCCGTGAGGATCTGAAATCTCACTGACATCTGTGATATGTGCTGTTAGAAAGCAGCGGCCCTTGTGAATCCTATTGACAGGCGCTTGCATCGTTACGTCAGAGACGCCCCATACCGAGGCTCGTACTGACCATGGTGCCTTTGCGACAGGCTTATCTGTGCGATCTTCTATCCCACGCACGCCAGCCGAAATTGACATTTCAACACACGCATTTGTGTTTTTATTCTGCTTCGAGCTCATTCACTGTGAAGATGACTTTCAGTGTTATGTACAGGTTGATTCGAAAGTCCTGTGCACACACACACACACACACACGCCCTAGGTGCTGGACGCGTGTGACACAAATTTTTTAATCATTTCCCACTTCCAAGACTTTTTCTCACAGGCGCACACAGACTTTTTAGTCATTCTGTACACAACTGCAGAGGTGATATTTGCCAATATTTGCCGCGTTGAAGGACTTCCGGATAGAGCGAGATTACATAAAATCGAAACTATTTATATTTTTCAGGCAGTATAATTATATGTGAAATATTTAGGTACATATAAAGGATTCTGTGAATCACACATCCGACTTCGTGGCACAAAATTATTTATGCAACAGCTTATCTCGCTATTATGTGTTTTCTTAACCTGTTTGTTTATAAGGGTGTGAAAGTTGATTTCTTTGTCTAACGGAACAGACTCGGCGTCTTTCAGAACGAAATGCTGAGGAGAACATATCGACTTTTGAAAGAGGAAGTAATAGGAGAATAAGAACAAATTATGAGAGACGCTTGCAAAATTTTAGCTGGGAACCTCCGTGGAAGAAATGGATGGACAATGCGTGGAAGCATGTGGGACTTCGCATTATTATGCATGATGGATGACTGAATGGAGGAAGAATATATGATTATGTAGTTAGCTATATTGCTGAATAGATGGATGGATTCGTATATGGGTGGACAGGTAAACTTGTGGTAATACTATTATGTGGCGTGATTTGCTTCATGGAGGATTAATTGAAGGATGGATCTATTATCTATCTATCTATCTATAATCTATCTATCTATCTATCTATCTATCTATCTATCTATCTATCTATCTATCTATCTATCTATCTATCGATCGATCGTTGGATCGATTGATGTACAAGTCACTGGGTTGATGGACAAATGGATGAATGGACAGAACAGGATGGGCGGATCCGTCGATTAGTAGATATACAAAGGAAAGAATTATAGACAAATACATGGACGATGGTCATTTAAGTGTCGGTTCTTCACGCTTTATTCACAATTGCAAAAACATAACTAGGGTGGGAAGGTGGAGTCCTGGTAGCCTATTTACAGATACATTTCTTACAGTTTTACGTATCTCACTGGCTTTGCTGTTAATTTATTGGATATGTAAATGTTCTCTTGCGGAGATAACAAAAATTGAGTTGCCACGTGGAACAGAGCAAATAAATGGCCTTTATATTTTGCTAGATACGATGAAAGTTATATGTCTTTATTTACGTAACTTGGGAAAAAGGTGATGAAACTTTGGGCTCAATAGAAGGTGGGAAACTTCTCAGTCAATCGATATTTGGCTTCTCAGGAGGAACTTTATTTCACGGAGATAATTGCTACAGCCAGACTCCGACACAGCGCCCTCCGTAAAGCGCCACCATCAGCCAACATCTGTGGCAATATAAATGTAGGTAGGCTGTCGTTAAACATTATAACCATGTAATTTTGTTTCTACCAACTAAAAGCCAACAGACGACTCCCTGGAATATTCAGTTGTTCAAACACTGTTCACCAAATTTTGTATAACAAATTAAATCTATTCAGTTCATTTGTAATCCGCTCACTGAATTTTCGAGCTCCATAAAGCAGAAATTCTTATGTCCATTAAATAAATGTCAATCATTTAAGGCAGAACCTGTAATAGGGAATGAGATGCAGACTGCAAGGAGTGTAGTGGTTGTAATATTACTAATTGTCCGTTTTCACACAACATATTGTAAACTGAATAAATTCATACACATAAGCGCGTATTTGTCTTGCAGTTTCACGTCTCAAACTAAATTATCCATCTTCAGACTTCACTATCCTCGAAAACTATTTGGTTAAGTTCACTGTAACGATATTAAATTGGTGTTATGTATATTATTACCTAGTTCGACATGTGTAATGATATATTTAAAGGTTAAGATGCTTGCTAAAATATCCTAGACTGTGGTATTTGTTGGTTAGAATATTTGTCTGTATGTACACTTAATGTCTATCACACCATTGTTACTGGTTAAAATAAGTTATAAAGGTTGCAGCATTTAGTTTAGTGGTTAGGATTCCGTCGTATTCAAGAAAATAAACCCCTTTCACAGAGATGTTAAGACTGTTACAGATTGTAGACCTGCAAAGACTCCGTACTACTTAATTAGTAAGACCATGTACAGTATTATGGATTTGCAGTGCTTTATACTTTTGAGTTAATAATACTGTATTCTTTGTAAAATTAATTTAGTCAATGCAGTTCAGATTTCCCTTCGTAATATTCAGTTTCCCTCTTAGGCGTAATGTTGGCAATTGTCCTGTTGATTCGTAGAGACCAAGGACAACATGGTTCTCTTGTGCAGATTTCTTACGTTTGCTTTGTCGAGGAAGTCACTGTATCGTGGAGTGTTTGTATGCTTCGGACTGACTGCGAAAATCTCCCATAGAACAACCTCCTTAAGAAGAATTTTATCAATTGAGATATTTTTTGAGCCATTTACATGTTACAGTTTTATTTTCATAATAACAATTGTCCCAGTTGTACCAACACCTGAGCCACGATTACAGCAAGAATTGACAGGTGAGCTCAGATGAAGAATAAACTATTTTCCAAATGCGTTAGCTGTGCTATGTTTTTATAATTGGCCCCGATGTTACTCTGTTACAGACAGAAATCTGTTATTGCACGGCTTATTACTCTGTAGATTCGACTCTGCAAGTTATAATTTTTATCTTCCCCGTATCTTTTGTTATAAGAACACGGTAGTAAATATTGTCTTAGATATCGGTTGCGGAACTTAACAACTGGAATGTTACTTTATGTTATGTATACATTTTTTCACTGTGAGGCGTTTTTAGAAAAGGTGAGAATTACAAGAAAATTTGGTGTTGGGTTGGGTGTTGGATGGATATGACATATCCTTTTCAGCCGACATTAAATGTGGGCGTCCGGTATTAAAATGTACACTGATCGAAATCCTTCAGGTAGCTTTATAATTGAAATGTATAAACAGACAGAAACAGAGAAGAACGTATGACATACACTGAATTTGAAAGAATATGGGAAGAAACGTGATTGTGAATACCATATTATGAACTGAAGCTGTGGAGATTTTCCTGATTTGACTTCCGCTTGTTCTAAATTATGTTGGTGTAACACAGGAAGTCCTCCGATTTACTGTACCGTAATGGCAGTGTAAAAATCTGGGCATGCGCAATGATTATGCAAATAACTTTCATATAGAGCAATTATATTCAAGGCCATATATTGTGGCTGGAATATATCACGACATGTCATTCATAGTCAGTAAGATTTGTGATTTAATCGAAATCAGCGTGATGACAGTGTTCTGGGATGCTGGGCCGTATAATTTGATAGGAGTTTACCGACGTTTCAGAGGTGCTTGCTGCCTCCATGATCAGGGCGAAACATCGGCAAACGTCTTCTACCAAATTACACGGCTCGACGTTCCAGAAGACAGCCATTTTCATATTCGATTCCGTAAGAATCTGATATCTCAAATAGTTTATTTATTTTTGAAATGTTAATTTTGAAACAAAAGTCGTGCAGAGAAATCCAGAAACCTTATTCTCTCTTTTATCTCTACTGGACCATAATCTTTATGGCAAGATTCGATGAAACTTATTAAAAACTCTAAACGTTGTCGTGTTTTTGTGTACCTAAGGTTTGGGTGCTGATTTATCAGTTTGTAACGTATAAACAGGGGTCGATAAATTGTGTCTGGTCTTTCATGCGAAAGTAACAATTCGACACCTCAGAGTCTCTTCAAGCAGAGACTAACGTTTAATGAGTTCTTCGCAGGACATAACTGCGTAGACTAACACCACATTATGGCGAACTGTTGTTCGTATGCCCATTCAACCGTCGGCATGTTTCATCTGCACGCCTTGATGTCTCTGTACCGACGTAAGAGCTACTTGGATCTCGGAGCTGTTCTGGAATGTGGTAACGGAAGACGTATCTGTCCTTGTCGCAAGTTGAACCCCACTTGTCCATTTCGTAGATACTTTATTATTACTGACTGAGCTACCTCTGAAATAGGCCATATCTTCCTACAGTGAACATTCTAGCCTGTAATTCCTTCTAAGACTGTGGTAATTGTTTGTATCACGTGTTCAGTTTGTTATAAACATCATTTAGTAACGTGTTTTCTCGGAGGTAGGAACAAACTTCAAGCGTCAAGGAAGAATGGTGGCTTTGCTTACAGATCTCAGCAATCTATTCGTCTTAATTGTTGGGAAATGTTAAGGAAGGGTTGTACAGTAAACACTGAGAGAAAGACAGAGATGGCGAATGTCTGTCCGCCGCGAGCGAGCTCTGCCCCCTCCTGACTCCTAGCTCCACTCGCTCCCCTATCTTCTCTCTTGTGTTCAGTCCGCTCTTGGCGTAGCCGGAGTGAGGGTCGTGTGTAAGGGAATAAATATTTTTGGTGATTCTCGAACTGTTCCCACTGTGGATTACTAAAATAAATATAAACTACAGTGATGTGCGTATGTCGGTGAGAAATTGTTTGTGACACAAACTTAAAACGTTCCTAGTCTTAAATAAGAATATAAAGTCCGAATCGTTCACAAAATACCTAACATAAGTAACATTTATTACATTTTAAAGTTTTAAGTTTTCGGGGTGGTGGTGGTGTGGTGACGTCAACGATGACGCCCTCGTCATCGTGCTGTACTTTAAGTTTCTTTTCACCAGTTTCAGTGGTTCAAATTCTGTGTGTATTAGGACTGACGGCTCTTGGTTCTACAAGGAATACAGGTAGGAATATGCACATCCAAATGTTTTGTCGTTGCAGAATTTGTAATGATCCATGGACAAGGCGTTTAGTTCTGCATTGCTTCGAATTAGCAAGTGCCTTAGCTGCACGAAATGTCGTCTGCGTGGCGTTGGAAAGTCTTCTTGGTATAACGGGGACAAGCCAGTGTGTGCAGTCTGGTATTTGTATGTTGCGGTGGCAGTCAGGAGAACAGGTAGCAGCAAGGACTGTTCCATTCATTGGAATTTGCCGTTCTCATCCTACTTTTAACAACTGGAAACCTTGGTTTAAGTTCAAAACTATTTGCTTTCAGTTACTATTTGTATTCCTATTTTCAATTGTTGTATTAAAACGGGGAGGAAGACGTCACTTAGTATTTGTTGTACAATTAATATTTGTTGACATATTTCACTTTGAGTGGTTAAATAGACAGTTACCGTTTGGTTACTTCGGAATAAAGAATCCAACGTAGCTTTTTTAAACAAAGAATAGCCTATAGAGTTTATGAAAGAGGTCATTGGCTTTTTTGTTCATACATCGAGCCGATGAGTTTAAATGTATTCATTTACTAAGTACTTAAGTGACTATGACACATATAGATTCTGATTTAATAATAAACTATAATAAAATATTTCGTGTTTTGCTTCATTTGGCGTTATTGCTCCAGAATTTATTTGATTGAAAGTAATTGATGGTATAGTTCCATTCGACGAACATGATAAATACATTTATTTTACATTGTTTTGCCAAAGGCGATTTTGATCTAGACAAATGGAAATAGAATGTGTTCGGCGAGAGAAGCATTTGCATTTGTTGCATTACTGTTGATGCTGGATGGTGTGACGTGGACAGACCGGAAAATTTAGTCGCTTCGGTTCGCTGAGTACGTCGGTAGGTGGAAGAGTCTAGAAAGGGGCAGGGAAAGAATGAGGGGGGTGGAGGTGGGGGGCACAGTGTTACAGGAGAGGGGTTTCCGTGGGTTTGAAAAACAGTTACTTATCATTTGGTAGTTTTGGTAAGGAAGGGAGAATTTGAAGCCGGTCAAAGTGGTTGCGAATGCTGCAGCGTGGATCGAGTCCTTTTCGAACAGTAGGATCGTAGGTTCGAATCACTCTTGGGCATGGATGTTTGTCCAGGTTATTAAGTGTTGCGCTGTCCTCTGCGGGTAGAGGTCTTGTTTCGGGATGATCTCCCGCCCAAGAAACTCGACCAACTGTCGAAGAAAAGTTCTACATTTGCGGCAGAGTTAGCAATAATACCAAAAGCACAGAGAAAGAGTGAAGAAGTGGATGTGTGAATGTGAGAGTTCGTATTTGTGGTTTAACGACGATGGCGGTAACTCAGATTAGCAGCGAATGATAAGATGGTGGATTAACAAGTAAATAATTAGAAAAGATATAAAAGGAAGCCGTCGGTAAGGCATTGACCACGATAAAGTTCCGAACCAAGATTTTAATCTTGTAGCTCCGAATACGATGCAAGTGTTAACCATACGACATCGACCGGTTTAGGATGATTTTTATTCTGTATTCGAGATTCAGATTCTTTGTATGTTTTACGTAAAGCGATAGCCATGTTTTTAGCTACTGGAAACATCTACAAATTTCCTGCTAGTCACCTGTTCTGGATTTAACATGTTATAAATTTCGCCGTATAGCCTTGTAGAAATTAACCGACGTTTTAGAGCCTCATCGCTCTGATGATGGAAGGAATAAGAACCTCCGAAACTTGTGAAGAGCATAAATTTCACATTTTGTTGCATATTTTTCTCCAGCCTCCTGTTAATCTCAAACGCCTGTTTTAATAATATCCTCCGTAGTGCAGGGGTGTATATAATTGTTGTGCCAGTAGTGGCCTACAATGCCCTACTACGGACTGGACGATTGGGTTTCGATTCCTGTCAAACGCAAAGCATTTTTCTTCTAGCCTCTACGTCCAGACCTATCCTTTGGGTACTGAGGTGTCTTTCCCCCGGGATAAAGTGGCCTAAGCTGACCACTCACCCCTAATTTGCGTCGAGTATACTTGACGTTACCCCCTCCACTCCCCCATACATCTACGTGGCGTAGTACTTTGTTGAGAATGAGGGACAACTTTAATTTTTACCTAACTTTACGTCAATCAATGAAAGTTTATTGGAAGTCTGATATTCAAAATGGTGGCAAGTGATTCATCATTAATTGAAATAGTACAGCCATGATTTTTTCTAATTTGGAAACATTTGGTGCGGGACAAAACGTGATTGAAGCATAGAAAACCGAAATGAAGAGCGAATTTCGATAGATGAGCCGAGATTGTGCTTCAAAAGTAATTAAATGAGCTCTTTACAGTATTCATTGTTACGCAAGCATCAGTGGCTTCAATTATTATTCACTTTCGAACGTAGTGTCAGTTTGTACTGCAAGGGTGGGAGACAGACTGTTGATCAAATTTGTAAATAATTTTTTAATCGTTCTCATTTTTGCAGCTTCAGACTAAAGTGTGAGGAAAATTGATCATCCCTAATGTTACAGTCAATGAAACGTCCTGTAATGTAACTTCCTGTGCCGTTGTGTGTTTATGCAACTGAAACATTTCCTCCTGGTGGTCTGCAATACTTTTAACGTAATAAGCAGACTCCTCCTTGACGGGGAATGTGGCGTGTTCTTCACATGTTAAACAACTGGCTCAATAATTCCTTAAACATTTGGTGGTTGCTTAGATAATGAGGAATGTTTAATTACCGTGTTCACAAAAGGTCGTCATTGTGCCTTATCTTGAGTGATTTGATTGTAGCCCGTACACTCGCACTTTTTTTAAAGATCCATTTGAATATGGTTTCTCGATTATATACATACGTATAATCCTGTTAAATGGTATCATCTTATGATTTTTTGCACAATTTACTTCTTTTTTAATTGCGTTTGCAAGTTATAATTGTAAAAACGCTCGTATTAACTTTACCATATTTGCCTATCTGTCTTTCTTTCCGGATGTAACAACTCCAGAACCGGTGAACGGATTTTCATAAAGTTTGGTGTAGGGTCGTTTTACTGCAATTTATGGACATGTTCCCAGTAGAACTTTGCCCCCGGGAAAAGACCCTGGTACCCATTGGACTGGAGGCTGGGTGGACCCCAGAGTCGATCTGCCCCCGTCGGGGCTCGAACCCCAGTCGTCGATTTGGAGCATACAACTTCTGTATAATGTGCTAAACCATGTAAGCCTATTACATGAACGTTGAACTAAACCGTCTTTGCTCTGAGACTAGCCAAGTGCCTGTCAGAGATGAATCCCGTAACTTAGGATCGAGGGTTTCGTCTGTGTTATCGCACACCGCGTCAGGCGATGATTGGTGGATATGAAGCAACGACGAAATGATGCTTAGCGCGGGAAAACATAACGAAAAACCCTAAGAAAATCCTGCTTCATTGCCACTTCGCCCATTTCGAATCTTATTCGCGATTGGACCCACGTACGTTACATACACATTATTTCCTGAAAGGGTTAAGTTGTATACAGAATCGTCCTTAGGGCGGCACTTGTTTTGTATGTAAACAGTTTTGAGGAGCAGCCCACATTTTTCTAGGAACTGATCTGGTTGTACAGCCACTTGGAACAATATGAGACTCGGTGTCACGTTTTAATATTATACAGCCCGACAGAAATCAATTGCATGCACGCTACTTCGCAGTAAAAATATGGGGCAACTACATCACCTAATGTGGCGCTACTGATGAAATAAAGGAGGGGCCACGTACGAAACCAGGGTCACGTTTTAGGAAGCACAGAGCTACTCGTTTTCATTGTCTTGTCTTGCAACAAATTTGGTATAAACAAGCAGGCCTACAGTAAAACCCACTTATAACAAAAAACCCAAGGCACGATTATTTTTTATTTTGCATTCCGTACGAGCACTTTTGCTCTCGTTTCCTTCCTCATTTCGTTCTGCGTCCCTCTCCACCGTTATTTAAATTTCTCTTCAATTTTCTCAGTCGGATTCAATAATATTTATTTCTGAAGATGGCTGTCTTCCGGGTTGTTACGCCGTCAAGGCTGGTAGAAGGACGATCGCTCTGATGATTGCAAGCGCCTCTGAAACTTCGTTAAAGTTATTCCAAACAATTGGGGGCACCTCAGATCTTACTCTTTATCTCTGACCCCCCCGTTTTTTACGATCTTGTGGCAAGAGGTCAGTGAGGTGAGTGCCCTATCTTCCACCACGGATTCCGCCCCCGCGACCGTGCTTTATCTAGAAGTAACAGGTGTTCAAAACCTGCAGTCAGCTGTAATGCCGACCCCATTTTAGAAAATAAAAGTTCTGATACTTTGTAAATAGTTACTGTACTATGATAAGTGGTTCTAGGTGTCAAAGTGGTGTTGTTTCTTTTAGTGCTGTCAGAAGGACGTTGTTATCGGAGGGGGTGGGAAGCCAGCGGAATGATATAGTGGTTTTATGGCGTGCTGAGGAATGTTTTGAATCTGTCTCTCTTGTCTTCAGCGTATTAAATGTTTGGTGTATTGCTGCATGGTTAAACAAACTTGGAGTCACGTCCGGGTGAACGCCGAGCAAATGTACTAGTCGTAAAACCGTAGTTTTCATGCTTTGTCGTTAATTTTAAAGCAATAAATGTTTTTGGCGTTCACGTGTTGTTGACAAGTTCGAATTTATTTTGTTTGAATTAAAATTTTTGTACGCAGTTTGACGCTGTATTTGGAAGTGAGTTACTTATGTTGACATTTCGTTTTGAGGCCAGTTTATTTTATCACTCCGCTAACTGCCGTGACCAGTTTAAATTTCTTCCTTCTTTCTTCCTGAGTGTTAGTGATGACATGAAGAATGTCTGCGGATCGTTCCTCGTGGGAACAGTTTTCTCTCTTCCGTAACGCCCGAGAGCTCTGGAACTGTCAGTCAGTCCCGAGTGCAATAGAAGCGGAGACTTTTTCCCCTGGGCAAGATGGCCGGAAAGTGAAGCTGGCCACCAACCTCAACATAGTACAACTGTCGGCAAATAAATGCAAG